TGGGGGGTTGGTTTCAAAAGGAAAAGGGGGGCTAAAAAACCCCCCTTTTTTTACCCCCCCCGGCCCCCGGCCCCCCCCCCCTTCCGGATCAAAAGTCAGCAAACGCCCAATCACAATCAACGGCGTGAAACGACCCCTTACATGGCACCAAAACCCCATTGACAATCGTTCGCGCAGCATTCTCGGCCAACCCCCCCCCCCCAACGAGTGTCTACAAAAAGAAAACGCGCACCTTGGTGATGAGGGGTGCGTGGAACAGCTCCACCAGCGTCTGCCGACACGCGGCCGGGGTTTCCCCTTCTACCTCCGGGGGCACCCATTCCTCCTCCGTCGGCGGCGGGGGTAGGTCCTGAGGAAAAAAGCCACGGGCGAGCAGGGGATTAGGTACTGAGCTTTTGAACGTCTTAGGATTGACCACGCGTGTCATCGAGAGGACGGGGCATTGTTTTCCTACAGGACTAATCGGTAACCGATGAAACACCATCGTTCCTTCCTACTTTGCCAAAGGCGGCGCAAAAACGTGTATCTACACCACTCCACGCCTTTTCAGTCCATTTCTTATAACCCAGCACAGCTACCGCCTTTCTCCTGGCTATCCCATTCCTCAGAATTGTCTCAAGAGGGACGCGACCGAATCAGCGTTGACTGACGGTCGCATGAAAAATAGACATCGGTGTGCAAACGGTGGAGGAGAGGAGAGGAGAGGGGGGAAACCATCATCCACCGGGCCCCCTCGTCAACAACGACCTTTTGCAAACAAAAACAAGCTCCTACTACACCGCAAACAAGGGACGGCGGTGGTGAGTGTAACCAAATTCCAGCAGACCACCGCCAACAAACAAAAAAAAACACACACATCCACAAAACAACAACACCAACCTGGCCGACCCCAAACAACCGTTGGAGCGCGAGCGCCGCCCCCCTCCGATCCGCCCGAGAGGACAAAACTCCCGCCCCGCCCCCCCCCCCTCCCCCCGCGCCGAGCCCTACCCCGTTCGCCGCCTCAACCAAAGATGTAGCGGAGCCCGGAGCCGAAGCTGCCGCCCCACCCACGGCATCTTCTTTTCTGGCTGCGGCGGCGGCCGTGGCCTGAGCAGCGGCGGCCGCGACGGAGTCGCTCGCTACCTCCCGGCGGGCGGAGCGGATGAAGTTCCGAAGGTCCATCTCCACGTTAACGGCTTCCATCAACTGCGAAGGCGCGCGGGGGGTGGGGGGGTGCACTCATGTAAACGCATGCCGTACACCATTGACCTCGCATCCCTACAACGAAGTGATATGCCCGGTTTCGCCGGCCCCAGGCTACGTTGCACGAGGATGAGCCAGAAAGGGGAGGGGCGCACTCATGTTTTCCATACCTTCGCTGCCAGACCAAGCGTCCTCCAGACGACGGACGTGGGCTTGCTCCTGTGCCACGCACGATAGGGCTCGCTATTTTTCGAGCCCAGCTCGTCCAACTCTCATGATGGAGGGGGGGAAATCGACGTTGAGTTCGTCTGAGCTGTAGGTGTTGGGTTCGATAAAAAAAAGCCGTGGGAAACTCTCTCGTTGGCCACTTGTTGTACACACGCCCCACCCCCGGCGCGTCAGAGATAAAAAAAAATTGCGGATTCGACTCGTACGAAAAAGCACATGGAAGCTCCAAAAAATGTTCATGTGTACAGCGGTAGTATTATAGTGCCGCAGGTCACCTTGAACAGCATCTGCAGGTCGTACTGCTGGTTGGCCAGGGAGCTGCTCTCGAACACCACGTGCTTGCGCATCCCGTCTTGCGCCTCCGAGACCAGCTGCTCCTCGCAGCCCTGGAAATCCGTTAGCACGCGCTGGAACTCCTGCGGGGCAAGAAATACAATACCCGGCGAAAAAAAAAGGCAGGCGTTGGTCGGAACAAGTGTGTGTGTGTGTGTGTGTGTGTGTGTGTGTGTGTGCTTTTTTATTATTATTAGCATCGACCGCGCTGTTCGGCTGACCAATGAAAAGACGTCAGTCTCAGTGCGGCTGAAAACACAAAACACTTCTAAATGTGTGTGTGTGCGTGCGGGTGAGCAGTAGAGGTTGAAACGACATACAGCAGTCCCGTGGAGAACCATTTTTGCTCGGCGACCAAACGAAAAACTTTGCACCCTCAGAGGAATAAAACAGAATACAAGCGCAAGCTCGCTATTTACTGCTGTGACACCGCATAAAATGCCCCCCCCCTCACCCTCACCCCCCGGGGGGCCCCGTGTATTGGAGTCGCTGCAAAACACGCTACTGCTGTGGAGGTCAGGATACGGTACAAGTACACTAACTATAGGTCTGCGAGATGTGTGATAAAATCACCGGCATTCTTTCTGAGGATCGTTACACGTAGACTCCTCTCATTCTCAACGGCTGCGAATGGTCGACGAATCTTCAGGAGATTGGGAAATGAATCCCACGAAGCCTCACCGACCTCTCCACGCCACCCTAGCTGGATTGAGTTCGCTCGGTCCCGCTTGGCATCCCTTTACATAGAGACAACCTCCGGTGGCAGGTAATCGCCACGAACCACACTCCGGACCCCACGCTCTCTCAGCACCAGGGGCTCCAAACTACTCTACTACGTGAGACTCGAAAACCAGGTTGCCGTCTCACATGCCTTATCCAGGTTCGGATGTTGTCCTCCTTAGTACAGCAGTTGGTTCTATTGTTTAACCGCTGACACTGGCGCCTTCGCGCGTGCAGCAACAAACCGTTACCGCGGTCGATTCCAATCAAAGAAAACCGACACCTCAACTATACCCTTCTCCTCTCTGCCCCAACACATCAACAACACAAACAACATCAACAACAGCAAACGCCAAAAACACGCCCTGTGTTGCTACGAAATGTTGTTACGAAACACACATGCAATCACAGAAAGAAAACCCCCGTTCGAGACAAAAAAACAAAACACAAATCACAGCAGCAATCGCGCTACATGCTGTCTCCACCCACACACGCACCTGCACCGCGGAGTGCACCCCGGAGCGCAGAGCCACCCAGCACGCCAGGCACGCCTTCCTCGCCTCCTCCGCCGCGTCCGCCGCCGCCTGCGCCGACTCGATCAGGGCCTCCTTGCGCGTCTTCTCCGACGGCAGGAACCACTGCACCAGATCCTTCTTGTTCGACGAGGAGGGCATCGCCTCTCGGACCTTGTCCAGGGTGGCCGACATCGCGCGTCTTCTCAGCGGGGGCGCCGGGGCGCCGGCACCGGCAAGCGGTGAGGGGGGAAGAGCAACAGCGGCGGGCCGCCGCCCCCCCCCGCCGCTGTTGCTGTTGCTGGTGGTGCTTTCGGGAGTGGTTGACGATCGCTCGAGAGACGGGCGGCGCCTTGGTTCTGAGGAGGGTACGGCGCCGCCTTCGACGGCGGCCGAGAGACTCAGCGCCGCTTCCCGGTGACACCGGTGGTACTGGGGGGAGGGTAGCGAACGTGCGGCAATCGGAGGGGTTTGAGGTGTTTCGGGGAGGGGGGGGTGCTGAGTTGACACGTTTTCTTTTTCTTGCAAACACACAGAAGATTAAACCATCTCTTCCACAGACAAAGAGTCCGGGATAAATTAGCAATGAAAAAATCATCGCGTTGTTTGTATGATGGCCAACTTTTTGGAGGTACTCTGTTGTAGTTGAACGTACCCTGGTGTGCGAACGCCGGTACTTCTCATCAGCGGCCCTCGTGTCTCGCTGAAGCTTGGTCGCCTTCGCCACCTTTTTTATTGTGTTGTTTCGCCGAGCACAAAGAGGACGAAAGCCACACAGCACGGCAGGGGGCGACATTTCCCCCAGGGGGCGATAAATATGGTCCATACTGGGCGGGGGGGGGGGGGCGTACTCTTGCGTTTTGCATGCCTTAACGGTAATACCATTGACAACGCGTCCCCGAGAGGACGGAGAGAGCATTGTTCCCACAGGACCGATCACCGATGGCCAATCGGTCCTTCCTACTTTGCCAAAGGTGGCTCAAATGGGGGGGAGGGGGTGCTCTATCGCATGAAAGTCATGCTAGACCAGTGACCTCGCGTCCTCGAGAGGACGGAGCAGGGGCGGGCGGAAAGAGATACAGAGAGCACGGCAGGGCGACGAGGGGTTTACGCATTCCAGCTGCACTGGCATCGCACATTGATGGTGGCATACCCCGTGCACGATTACCCCCCGCCCGCCTTTCCTCCCCCCATCATCTCTTTCCAGCCATTCCGCAATCGAGCCGTACGGTCTCCATGAATTGACAATAGAAAAAAATGGGTATCTATGAAGCTGAGAACATGCCTACACAGACAAACAAACACAAACACTCGGGCAAGCTGTAGCATAATCAGCAGCAGTTCGCACCAGGGCCTTTGTCTTCGAGCTGAGCTGTCCTCTCAGCTCCGTCAGCGGCTCGAGCACGTCGCTCGAGATGTTCTTCGCCAGCGCGCGGTGCTGCACCGCCTTGTTGACGAGGTCGGACCGCAGCCCCTCGAGGCCCTCGCGGAACGACCCGGCGTCCAAGCCGTCCCGAAACGCCTGCGGTATTTTCGTGTTTTTGTGTTTTCGTGTGTGTGTGTGTGTGTGTGTGGTTTCTTACTATACTGGTGTGTGTGCTTGGTTGATGTATTGGCATCCGACAAATCTCAACCGGGAATGCAGACATCGGTCTAATGGACTTCTAAGAAACGACAAAATTAAAAATCTATCTATAACGCTGACCCCCAAGCTTGGGGGGGGGGGGGTCCCGGAGGAAGCTGGGTCGACGGTTCCAATCTCCGGAATCACTGCAGTCCTTTGTGATATAAACCGAGACACGATGCTACTGCTGTACAATAGTGCAACGGGACTGCTCCGTGTGCTCTGCAATAGTGGAGGAGCTGGAAGGTGGCGCGGTTGTAAATAGGGGCAGGACGACAAAAGCTAAACCTTGCATGGGGTGAGTGTATACAGCATGCGTTCGTGTGCATCATCCACAGCGTGGCGGCAAGGGTGCTGCCTCCTGTGCACGGGTCAACCGCCGGAGTGCACTCCGCCTCTCCGAGAGCGGCGCGGCCCAGCTCTATCTATCCCTCGCGATTGCTACTACTGTAATTCGGCCTGCCTCTCATCATACGCATATATTGTACAACCAACCTTTGCACCTGATTTGCCACCTTGTCCAGCCCCTTCGCGTAGGACTCTTCCAGCCCAACCCTGCCCTTGATCATCACGCACAGCTGCGTCGCGTGTTCGATCGGTCGGGGATGAGGTTTTTCGAGTCAAGAAATGGGGTTGAGAAGAAGAGTGACAGTGTAGTTGAGAACCCTTACTTTGCGATCATCCTTACATCCATACGCACGAAAAACCAGGCCGGTCCCATGAAATTCACAGCCATCTTGGGGACTTCTAGTCCATTTTCTACAACTGAATACTGAAAAGAAGTGCTGCTGCCCATGCATTTTGTCTCCGTTGTGAGTTTGGTGTCGCGTGGAAGATGGCGGTGGTTTAACCGACCACCATGTACACACTCGCAGCACTATCTGATGGGGTGAGCATGTGGGGGTTTTCAGTGTTGGGATTTTCGTGCGTGGTGGGGTGCTGCTGTACCACCGGTGAACCACTGAACCCCTTTTGTGTGGGAGGTGTGATTGGGAGGTGTGCTCTCGGCCACTACCTTTTCTCTCTCCACCTCCACGTCGGTCTCTCTCTCTACCAATCGAGTCTTGCTTGGCCCACTCTCTCTCGGCCGAATACAGCCGACTACATCGACCCCGTCAAGTGTTAGACTAGTACCGACAGAAGGGCAGAGAGAACGGAACGGTTTTTAATGTGAAGACAACAACAACAACAACAACAACAACAACATCCCCGTATCTCGCCCCAACAAGGGCTTGCTTCACCGTGCACAGTTCGTCCAACACACTAGTGTGATCGATCAACAGATTCTGTTTGCAGGCGTAGGATTCCCGGGGGGTTGTGCAAGTCTCGCACAATCGGTAGACTCCCAAAAGAACAGTAAAACAACAGCTCGAAGCGCATCGACCTCTCCAGCCGACTATTGTAAGTACCAACGATCGTACTGGGTTCCACGATACCGAAGATCTGAAGGTAACGGACAGCTCCAACAACATTTAGTCCTTCGTTCCGTGACAGATTCGTACAAGCACAACAGTATCGGTAGATCACACTTTTCGTTGCTTTCATCGTTTGGCTTCATTGTACTTCGTTTGCGATGGACCGCGGCCCATCTCAGTCCGTCGCAAACGAAGTACAATGACGTCACACGATGGAAGCAACGACAAGTGCGATCTACCGATACTGTGAGTTCTACGAATTTGTCATACGAACGAAGGGATACGTGATGTTGGAGATTAGATTTTCATTACTGGTATGTAGTAGGGAACAGCTGGACTGCTGTACAAAAAGGCATGAAGGAAAAAAAAAACCAGAATACAAGGGTATCTACAAGGCCAACTTCGCGCTGCCGGGGTCAGTGGATGCCCCACCAGTCACGGACGGGCAACCAGCCCTCTCGCCTCCGAGTCAGGGGGGACCAAGCCCCGACCAGGGCACCAACGGCGAATGGCGAAAGTGGTTACACAGAGGCAGCCGAAGCCATCGCGAGACAAAAGGACAATCGCCCAAATCAGCAGGCACGTTGTTTCGCGTCAAACCCGAGATAGGTTGGGAACTGCTGGAAAGAGAGATCAGGATGGTGTCTATACTGTATTCAACGTGATCATAGCAAGACATTTTTCGATTTTTTCCAGGAGGAAGGTGTGTTGGACGTGTTGGAGAAGAGTTCCAAGGTGAAGCACGTTGAATGAATGTATCCTGAAATTTTTTTACAGCTCCCAACCAAGTTGCTATCTCTCTCTCTCTCTCTTGGCCGTGCACAGCCGGCTACCACCATCCCCGTGTCTCGACCAACACGGACCTGCTGCACCGTGCGCCGTTGATCTATCAGGCACTCGAACCCGCCTTCACATCTTCATCAGCAAGGTGTCGTATGGACCGGTACAGAGCTTGACCATGGCGTCTTCGAGTGCCCGCAGAAAGGAAGATGGATTCCTACGGAGTCCCATCGAACGAAGAAAGTCCGAGAAATCGTGCCTCGCACAAGACTGGCAGGAACTACCGATGCGTGAGTCAGAGCAACCTTAAGACTACATGTATGCACTCCTGAGGTTGCTCTGAGTCGCGCATCTCTGGTTCCTGCAAGTCTTGGTGCGAGCCGAGATTTCTCGGAATCTTCTTCGCGCGATGGGAATGCGCGAGAATCCTTCAGCCCTTCTGCGGGCACTCGAAGATGCCATGATCAAGCTCTGTACCGGTCGATACCTTGCCGACGATCATGCTCCACAAGCGAAACTACTTCTTGTACACCTTATACATACCCACCCCAAATCACCCCTTCAGCCCTGCTACACCAGTACTCGTACACGACCATCACCGCTGCGGCGTCCCGAGTGGAAGCAACCCGGCGGCTCAAAAACAGCGCCAGGAAGCAAGCACACAAGACCCCGACAAGCAGCAATTTTGACAACATGACCAGCAGCGTATGTATGCGCATGTACCGATGGCGCCCGCACTGAGAAGTACTGTAACTTGACTCTTTGAAACTCGGAGACTGGACGGTTTAGAAACTTGAGAACTTGGAGCACCATCTGCGAGCCCGGTTAAGAAGCTCTTCACTAAAACCTAGATAGAAATGTAGCGGCCATTTGTAGCCCACAAGAGGAACTACAGCAGTAAGGACCCCAACCTCGACCAAAGGTATCGAAGTAGAGGTTCTTAAGCGCTGGCGCCGTTCTGAACATGGATTCATCAACAGGGCAAAGATGAACTTGTCGTATGAATTAGGAAACATAAAATACAACGACAGAAAGACTACAAATACCCATTCGAGATATGACCACAGCAGTCGAACGGGATGTGTTAAAGTATTAATATTTACAGCATATGTTATGTTCTGTGTACAGTGGGAATGATGGGGAGGCATCGAGGGAAGTAACACGACACCAACAACCCGCCCTTGGGGTAAGGAGAGAATAAATCGCACGGAGCACCATCTGGTTTGTGAACGAATGGTACTACGTTGCCCGCTGTACGGCGTGTGCTTCTGATTTATACACTGATAAAAGCTTGAGGTTCGGCGGAAATGGGGGGCCCCTGCAGTATGCACGTAACATATTCCTAGCATGCATCTTTTGAGCTTTCGCGTACATAGGAACGAACTGCTAAAGAACTTGCTCGCTGCACCAGAACGGAGTTGATGGAAACAACGATTGCCCGCTGTACTGATTGCTATGGTGCAGCCGCAGCGCGTGCCTCTCAGCATGAGGCCCACCAGCAACACAGCAGAAGGTTGGTATTTCGTACCACATTCCAGGCCTACTCGAGACTTCTCGGAACAAGCGGCAGGAACGACTTGTTTATTGTGCTGACAGAATGTCTCCACAACCTCCGACCAGATCCTTCGAGCACAGAAGCACCCCCACCCCACGCAATTGCACAAATCGCTACTACTGTTGTACTCACGTCGTCGAGAGCTCGCACACCATGCAGGCTCCTCTTCTTGATCAACTCGTACGCGGACAAGCAATCCGTCGGGTAGGACAAAAAATACTCCGTCCTTATATCTGCATCTTCGAAGCCACCGTCCGTCATTTCCGATTCAGCCTCCGTGGCCGCGGAGAAGGCGGATTCCGACTCCGCGGAGCTCGGCATCCTCTCCAGAGGTGCCTCCATCCTTGGTGCACGGCACAGCAGCAGTGTGAACGTTGGTCATGCACCTCGTCATCCAAAACAAGGCACAAAGGGGATCACAGATAGGATTCTTCTTCTACGGGGTACTCCAGTTGCTCACTCCTGTTCCACGTTCCACATTCTAATATCCCGCGTTCCCTGCACACACGTGCCACTAATAAGCATGACAAAAGCAGGACACACACACGTGCCAGGGGGAGTCCGATCGTTCGAAGCACAAGAGGGATATTAATTGAGAGAGGAGGGTCTGCGAATATGTAAATACCGCCGCGCATAGTAGTCGATCGACAATCACAGAGATGCCAAAAGTTTCCCACAATATGTGGGCACATTACTTGATTGAACACATCAATGGATATTAGACTAATAGAGATGAGAATTAGAGAAAGGCGTCTGCGTAAACGGTGAGCTCCCCACTTCCGAAATTACGATTTTGAGGGTGATTTCGCGGAGTGCGCTGCAGAACGAGCCGCCACCTCAAGAAATTGGTACCACAGAAACCGAGGAAATTATATCGATGAACACCTACAACATGTATGTATGTATACGTGCGTCAAAAGGTTTTTCTCTAGAGGCATGCATACAACAAGTGGTAAGCGAAGGGTTGCGCAAAACGATAGACATTTACATTTGCGTCGTGGCACGTTGTGTAGCGCGGGGTATGACGCCCGGACGAATGTGAACTTGGGGGCACCTGTTGCTGTGTCGTTTGCTGAAGGCCTGATTGTAATACGTGCAGAGGACGCAAATTAATCCTTTTTTTGCTTTGAGGGACAGGACGACCGTCACCGTCTCCTCCGGCTGCAACACACCTCTTTGCTCCCGTACTTAAGGGGGCTTGCGACAGCCGGCGACGGTCATGTTACGCGTTCGCCCGTTTGTGGTACAAACAGCCAGCAAGAGAAGAGGAGCAGCTCGACCATTAGCGACATGGTACATTACAACAAGCGGCGCGCCGCATGCACCTGCACACGTAACTTCGACGGCTGCACCCGATACCATCGCCGCTTCCATGAGCGCATGTGACATTTCGAGCTGTTCCCAAGTCTTTTCCCATTGATTTTGCTCTCGTCGAAAGCGAGCAAACCGAACAACCGGGCGCAAGAGCACTGCGGCCGCCCACCGCGTACTTTCGACCCTCCGGCGTGAGCACCATGCAGTGCACGCTTGCTTCCCCACCCCCAAACGGCGGTATCTAACAGGTCGAAACCCGCACCCAACTCCCACAGACACTCACACAATATCTTGTTTGTGGGTGGATACGTTAGATTAGATTAGCGTTCGCTCGTCATCCCGAGACTTTCGCACTCCTCCTGGCCGCAAAAAACAAAAATAACACAGGATCCCTCCATCCCAAAATCCCTGGAGAGCACACAATAGACAGGGCTGGGTGTGGGTGAGAACCCTTGCCGCCCCCCCTCGAAAAAACGCGCGTGGCGCCGATCAAGCAAAGAAGCACAATTGATCTCTGATCAAACAAACTCTTGCCCTCTGTTTCGCGGGCGTCCCCCACGCTGGCGGGTGCCCCTTTTTAAAACCCGCCCTATCATCTTTTTCTCTCCCGCGCTCCAGAAAAAAGAACCATACCACATCTCATCCCATTGTCCCGCAGGGTGCCGGGTCACGGGGCAAAACAAATGGTTGATGATCCTCAACTGCAGCCCTTCCCCTCCCCCCCCCCGCCATCAGCCGAACGACTGCCGTGGCTCCCGCATGCTACAAACTATACCCAGCGTGTGCCCATTCAGGAAACCAACACACGCCGACTAGCCCAACTAAACCCCGCCACCCTGGAACCGAGTACCCCCCCCCGCGCGCGCCGCCGCGCGGCTCGCGTAAGTATTGTAGTGCTGAGGAGGCCTGCTGCTTGCTCCCTCGAAGCCTAGGGGCCACGGAGCGTCCAATCACTTCGTGGCTTTCATGATCTTGGGAGCGGCCTGCCATCGCAGACGGGGGGGAGGGGGGCCCCGGCGTGGCGACGCAGCGACGAACGCGTAGGGGGGTAGGGGTTGGTGTTCTGGGGTCTTGTGATGGTACAGGACCATTGTTGTTCGTCCTTGCGCGTTATTCAGGCATGTGCAAACGGCCTAGTCCGTACGAACACATGGACTACACCAACGGGTTGTAGAAGCATTGCTCGTCATGTGTGATGTCTTATTTTCTCGTTCCATCAATTCTGGGCGCCAGCGTGTACACCATTCGGTGTGGATGCCAGCCCGGCCCACACGGGAGGAAGTTAAACACTGGAGGTTGATTGCTTCTTTTCGTCACTCACGCATTTGTCGACACAGGATATGTAGTCGAAGAACCATGGCTCGCACGTGCCGAAGCCCTTGCTGGTGACCCGTTCAACACACGCCTGGGCACGAAGCACGGAAACCCGTTCCACAGAAAAGTGTCGCCGGGGGGGGGGGGGGGGACCCATAATCATGCATGGGGTAATCCTTAAACCATTGACAAAAGGGGGGGGGGAAAAAACAGGGGGGATGGTCCCATCCCAAGGAAGGGGACACAAACCCCAAGGGGCGAAGGGGTCTTTTTTTTTCCTCCCAAAATCTCCCCCAATGGTTTTTTGGGCAAAAACCCCGCCAAAGCAAAAATTGGGGAAAAAACACCTCAACCCTCCCCATTTGGGAAACGGTTAAAAACCAAAAAACCCGGGAAGTGGTTTCCCCTCCCCCCGGAAAAAAAGGGCAAGTTTTTCCAACCTTAAACCTCCTTTAGTCCACCCCTAAAAAATAAATGCCCCCCGGGATGCATGCTTTTTCCCCCCAAACCAAGAATGCATGTGCCTTAACTGGGCCTACCTTTTAATCCCTCCACCTCCCCCAACAAACCCTGGTTTCTCCCCAAGTTTCCCCGATTTCCCTCCAGGGGT